GCTGCCCAACACCACATGACTAAGTTTGCAGAGGACAACAAACTGGGTGGGAGTGTCAAACTGCTTGAGGGTAGGAAGGCTCTACAGAGGGATCTGGACAGGATCAATTGGCCAAGACCAATAGTCTGAGGTTCAACAAGGCAAAGTGCTGGGTTTTGGGTCACACTTGGGTCATACCAACCCCATGGATGCTCCAGGCCTGGGGCAGAGTGGCAGGAGCTGACTGGCAGAAAATGATCTGGGGGTGTTCGTCGACAGCTGCTGAACATGAGCCAGCAGTGTGCCCAGGTGGCCAAGAAGGCCACCAGCATCCTGGCCTGTATCAGGAACAGGGTGGCCAGTAAGACTTGGCTGGTGACCGTCCCCCTGTACTAGGCACTGGGGAGGCCCCACCTCGTGTGCTGGGTCCATCTTTGGGCCCCTCACAACAGGAAAGACATTGAGGTGCTGGAGCATGTCCAGAGAAGGGCAACGGAGCTGGTGAGGGGTCTGCAGCACAAGTCTTGTGAGGAGAGGCTGAGGGAGCTGGGGGTGTTCAGGCTGGAGAAAAGGAGGCTGAGGGGAGACCTTCTCACTCTCTCCAACTCCCTGAAAGGAGGGTGTAGCCAGGGGGGGGTCGATCTCTTCTCCCAAGGAAGAGGTGATGAGACAAGAGGAAATGGTCTCAAGTTGGTCCAGGTGAGGTTTAGGATGGATATTAGGAAAAATTTCTTCCCCGAAAGGGCTGTCAAGCCTTGGAAGAGGCTGCCCAGGGCAGTGGTGGAGTCACCATCCCTGGAGGTATTTAAAAGCTGGGCAGACGTGGTGCTGAGGGACATGGGCTAGTAGTAAATTGGCAGAGCTGGGTTAATGGGTGGACTTGATCATCTTAAAGGTCTCTTTCAACCGTAACAATTCTATAATTCTATGATCAGGGAATTGACCAAACATCCACTCCTGCCAACACCACATTGCTCCCTTCTCATCTGTCCACTTCTTTGAGACCCAAGTCTCTCCAAAATCTCAGTCTAATACACTACCCAGTACAGCTCTACTCCAACAGCTGTGGGTGTAACCACAGGAGCTAAAGGAGAAACAGTCCTACAACATCCCCCGCAACGATCTGTTGGACTGTTCATTCAATTGTATTTTGGGGGAGACTCTGGTGTTTCTTTTCTTTTCTTTCACAGTTACTGTTTGAAAACAATGTCAGCTCTTGACAAGCGGCACTGGGTTATGCTGCAGGGAGTCCTATTCTACCAATGTCATTTCAGAACTCTTCCAATTTTTAATAAACTGCTGTTTGGCTGTTTTAATCAAGGCCATTCCCATCACTCTGATTGAAATAAGCTGCTGATGTTGTGATCCATATGACCACCTGGGAGGCATAACAAAACACATGACAATGCTTGCACATCTATAACATCTCAAAAACCACATTTTAGTTTTTCATTGCAGCAATGGCTTTTTTTTTTTTCTTTTTCTTGAGGTTTAGTGTCTTTATATGAGGACTTCAGCACCATGACTTAGCTACTGTCCAGGCAAATGAGGTCTGATGTCTCAAGCCCTTACATTCATTCTTGTAAAACGTACATTTGATGAATCCAATTGATTATACTTTCTGTTTTTTAGCCACTGGGGACAAAGCTCCAGATTTGTCACATTGAAAAATTCAGTGTACAAACTGACAGGCCCAAAAGTATAAAGCTCATGTCTCCTCTCAGCCATCAGAGGCTTCTGTGGTCTCATCACCTACACAGAACCTGATCTTCTGCTCAGATGGACTGAAGGTGGCAGAGAAGAACATAACTCAACTAATATGGCAGATAGACTATCATGTCATTAAGGCAGCTTCTTGACAACAAAAAATGCTTTAAGCACGAAGACTCACTATCCCAGTAAGTTGCAAAACATATTAAAAGGAGAACAGAGGAATCAGGGCTCGAGGAAGAAGTTTCATATTATCATTTCTCATAACAAACATAAAATAGAACCTTTTACCTGACTCCCCACAAGGATGTTGTAAGATTTATAATACTTGGCACAAGATAAAAAGCAAAAGGTAGAAATCTGAGCAATGGCTGATACGTAAGAACCAAAAATGACCCAGCATTTGACAACCAGTTGACACTGAGTGGGTGTTTCAAAGAGCCTGCAGCCCATCTAGCTCTCCTTTGTTTGAAAGCACATGTCCTTATGGCTTTTGGGAATTGTGGAGTGTTTTGCTTTTACTCCTTGACACTTCTTTGCCACCTAGAAGACCTGCAGCAAAGCAACATGCACAGAAATTAAGCTTTTGGTGCCCCAAAAAGCCCCAGCAAACAGAGATCTCTGTCAGGCGTCTACCCACAGCAATATTAGGTGCCACAAACACGATCCACACCCTCAACTGCACTACAGGCTGAGCTGAGCTCATGGTATTAGCATTTATCTCCACGGACTGGTTCTACGTAATCTGAAGAAGTGTCTTATGCGCTGCGATGACAACAGCTCTGTCTCTGAAACTGCATCATGAGCTCCCCTGGACGGCAAAAAACATTCCAATTGCAAGCCACACTTAACATGTATGTATTAAAGGCTGGATCAGTTTCTACTGAAATAAGATAACATGAAAAGTCTTCATTTTTGTCCTACTTGATCCTTTCCATGCAATGTTTAATCTCCACTGCTCAGTATTTTGATATGGCCACTACTCTCACGAAGTCTGGCTGTCTGGCAACTCTAATGCTCTTCTCTCCGTGTGCCTTTGCTTTGGAAGTCCTTCCTTTTCATCCGACAAATCACTCCTACAGAGTGAGTTGTCAATGTCCCTACACCATTACACAATTAAAAGGGAAAGAGTAATTACAGAATATACCTGGGTTGATATCACATATGTATGTATGTGATGTATATACATATACATATATAAATTATATTAACTAATGAAAAACAGATCAATATCTATTTCAATTAACATCTTTAAACAGCAAACCTTTCACAGGGAGCTGACAGCACACAATAAACAGCAGAGCCATGCAGTGAAAGATATTTACTCTGCATATGAATATAATCACTATCACTTTAGATAACTCTCTGGAGACCTGTAAATACATACAAGTAAAATCAGGTCGGTAAAATGTCGTCTGCAAGTTCTCCATTCCGTGGAAAGAATTATTCATTACAGGAAGGCTTGTTTTTAATTGATATCAACAGCCCTGAACTTGGGTGTCAAATCAAGACTCTCAGGAGATGTCTAGTGATACCACGGTAAGAAAAGTGATCAAAGATAAACAGTGAACAATTTATGACATAGCTCTGCAGTTATTCACCACGTAGCCTCATCTCCAGCCTCACCTCCACATTTATACAGTTCTTTTTTATTTTCCTGTATTCTCAGCTATTAGAGAGACAAATATTATCTGTAACACACTTATACGCAATCTGTGTTGGAGCTGGGCTTATCTCTAACTTAAAATCTCCATCTTTCAGCTTTCCAGTCATTAGCATGACACAGTCTTAGAAATTTGCAGCTTTCATTGACATAACCTTGGAAATTTATACCTAACTTGTGCAGTTTGAGCCTGTTTGTATCAAAAACACTCACACCCTGAATCTCTTTGTCTTTCTAAACAAATTCAGAATAGCACTGTCGCTCCCTGCCTTGCAACGAGCGTGCATTTTGCAGTCAAGGGTTTTGGTTCCCCATCCCACAATCAGTGATGGTCCAATTGTCTCTATCAGGGGTGCCTGGAGGGGGAAACCCATATTTATTATCTCATGACTCCAAGAAGATATCTTAGTGCCACATTCAGTTCTTTTATATGCCTAAAGTGCCTCATCTGGAGACCTTGCATATACAGACTGCAGATGCATCCACAAAGGCAACAAAAGTAGAGATTGATCAATAGGCAGACAGGCAGAGGCACACATTCATATATACATATAAAGAATGAACCATCTTTCCCTCCCTCTGAGCAAAAAACAACCCTGCAGCTGTAGCTGGTTCTTTCAATAAAGAACCGTGAGGAGTTAAGCCATCTGAGTGTCGGGCACTGGCACAGGATCACACCACCCTGAGGAGCCCGAGCAGGAATTGCAGCATCGCTGCAGTTCAGTGAGACTGGATCATTTTTGGCAGGTCAGACCCTGTACTTCCGCTTGCTTTTGACATGCTATCATCAGCTCCACAGCTGCAGTGGCATATGGTTACCAAAATGATATTTCAAATGATATACGTAATTTATCCAGAGAGACTTTTATTGATACACAGGTATTAATCGTAAGCTTCTTTTAATTCATTTTATATTTTCTTTAGCTTACAGCCTTTCTAAGATTTCCCTGCTTGTTATTGAAGTTGATACTACACATGACTCAGGATTTCCAACCTCTACAACCCTAAATATTCACCCTATGCCTTTATCCAGATCTATGCAAAAACACCCTTCGGATACATGTCAGTCAAAAGGATCCTACTTCATATTAATAAGTACAAAAAGTGCCATGGCACATCAGGGGTCCTCATATTTTCAATAATAAAAAATAAATTAAATACTTCGGTCTTATCTTGATAGAACCCTTCTTCCCTACTAGGGCCTGGAAAGACTTTTTTGTTAAACTGTGTTTTCTTAGAACACATATCCTACTATTAAGAAAGCCTTGGGCCATATTCTCCAATGGGCTCTTCATGCATCATTACTGTCATGTTGGGACATTCCCCACCCAGGTCCCACTCTCTCACAGGTTGACATGTGGCACTGGGAGGGGGGGAATAATGGAAATGGGAGAGGTCAGGACACAGAAGTCACCCTCCTGTGTGTTGCATGGATGCTTGTGCCATATTCCAAAATGTCTCCAAGGCCTTGGAGGGGGAAAACAACACAGCACTTGGTTATCCCTGGCATCTTCTGTGCCACGGGGAGCAGCACCAAGCAGCCAAAGCAAACTGAAAATCCCTTTTTCATACAGCCTGTGCTCACATTTGTGGTTGATACAAAGAGAGAGAGAGAAATCTCTGTAGTCATTCCCTCGGGTGTTGGTACCTGGTGCCTGTGTCACTGCCACTCTTCACTGCTCCGTCATCCGTCAAATTAAAGGTGCCGGTCCAATTTGCCAATTCCTCTCCATTCTGCCAGCTAAACTGCAGCCCTCTAACAAGAAAACGAGGCAGTTGATATTTGATACCATTCATTAGGTTAAGTCTATCAGCATGAGTTCTCATGTCCTTTTTTTAACACAGAAATGTGACTATGACACATTCATCAAAAACAACAAAATGATACCAAGAACCACAAGACACCGTCTTACTGGTGGAAACAATTAATTTTCAGTTCCCATAGACTCTAAATGTCCTTGGCTGAAAACACCACCAGATTCCCCAACCAAACTGGAAGGCCAGTAACCATCTGTGCTAATAAGCAACACACATATGTGTGGAGCAAGGTGGAAACTTCATTCCCAGAGACCCAAGTGCAAAAAGCTGGAGATTTAGGTGAAAAGCTACAGAGCTAAAGAAGTAAAGCCCTCCAAACTTCAATTTTACATCCACGATAGTTGTTAAAAGTGGTGGGCACTGGGTTCTTCCTCTAATTTGTTGGCCACGCTGACAAAGGATTTGTCATTTGATGATGACTCCAAAGCACACTATACGGCTCCTTTACCTGTTTTGTATTTTTTAAGCCAATGCCTACCACAAGCATCACAACACCCTGTTTCCCAAACTTTCACAAATTCATTCCAAGACCCACAATGCCTTCAGTCTTCTAGAACCCCCACCTATAGTTGGGTAGAAATATCACGTGTACTTAAAAAAGCTGGGTTGGTGGAAACATTTGACAACACAAGTTGAATCCTTCCCTTAGCTCAGAAGTCAGGGAAAACGAATCTTGCAGATTGCTATTTTTAATCTTCTCCATTTTAACCCAATTTCGTGATTTCAGAAGCCTGGCAGCTGAGTCGTGAACATTTCACGCTGCCAATGCAGAAAGTTAACTTCCCGGCGGGGCTGTGCAGGGACAGCCAGGAAGCAGCAATCTGCCAGCCTCTTGGCCCAAAAGAAAGGGCATCCAGGACCCTGCTAGCTTTCTTGGTCAACAGGCTCATTACAAGTAATGGAGGATCTCTCGGACCACATCCATCCTCTAGTCCAACTGGCAGCAGTTGTAAGCACAGGAAATTAAGAAGGAACAACAGAGGGTGTTAAAATAAGGCCTTTTTTGCTTCCTGCAGCAGAAAAGGCGAGTTGCTCTAAACAGCTCCACAAACATAGAGTAGAAATGTATTTGTTCTGTGTTGTGCAAACGTATGCATGCAACTTCTTGCTGTCACAGTTCTTTTACGACAACCTTGTCCAAATAAAAGTACCTGCAGTGTGGGCATTTCCCCATGAGCTAATCTTCTTGGGTCACAGAATGATACGGGGTTGGAAGGGACCTCTGGAGATCATCTACTCCAACCCCCTGCCAAAGCAGGTCCCCTTAGAGTAGGTTGCACAGGAATGTGTCCAGGGGTTTGAATGTCTCCAGAGATGGAGACTCCACCACCTCTCTGGGCAGCCTCTTCCAGGGCTCTGCCACCCTCAAAGGAAAGAAGTTCCTCCTCATGTTGAGATGGAACTTCTCATGTTCAAGTTTGTACCCGTTACCTCTTGTCCTGTCCCTGGGAATCACTGACAAAAGACTGGCCCCATCCTCCTGACACCCACCCTTTAAGTATTTATAGGCATTGATCAGATCCCCCCTCAGTCTTCTCTTCTCCAGACTAAAAAGACACAATCTCCTCCATTCTTAAAAATCCGTGGATTTGCTCCATACAGTTAGTTTAGGGAAAGATTCACCCACTCAAAGGCTGGCCTTCACTCTAGGGGAGACTGATCCAGCCCCTTAACTCTCTCTCCATCAGCAGAACTGGGAGCCTGGGGCCACCTGTGGTGTGGGGAGGTGTGACAGAAGGATCCCACCACCCAAGTGAAGCACATACAAATGTTTTTTCTGACCTAAACCCAAGATATTTTGAAAGAATTTAAGAAGTTTATTCTTGTATGGTTTGTGCCTTTTAATCTTTCCATTTGATTGGATTTTTTTATTGAAAACAAACTTTTTGGTAAAGGCATTTTGGGGAAGAAGGAATTCTGAAGAAGGTAGGGAGTCATTTCAAATCCCTGAGCTGAGGAAAGAGCTAACCTAAACTGCCTCCTCCCCTCCCAAGCCGCCTCCCACCGCAAAAGGTGGAAGAAAACCACTACGAAAATATTGAAAAGGACATCTCTGAATCTTTCAAAGGCATTTTGATACCTTGCATGTTCTCCAGTGTTCAAATGTTGCTTTTTGAAATAAAAACATTTTAAGTATAAAGAAGGGAACATTTGAAATGCAGCAGTCAAATTTTTGCTCATAGGAAACCCATTCTGATTACTTCTTAGTTAAATATGTCCATGTCTTTGGTGTGAGGGTGGTGAGACCCTGGCCCAGGTTGCTCAGAGAAGCTGTGGCTGCCCCATCCCTGGAGGGGTTCAAGGCCAGGTTGGAGGGGGCTTGGAGCAACCTGGTGTGGTGGGAGCTGTCCCTGCCCAGGGCAGGGGGGTGGAACTGGATGGTCTTTAAGGTCCCTTCCAACCCGAACCATTCTATGTTTCTTTGATTGTCCTGTTTTCCAAAAAATTAGGACAAGTAGAAGAGACTATCCTGATTGCCATAAGCAAACTGAGATGATGTCACATGCTTACATCTTACATTCAGCTTGGAGAGAGCTGCTTCGGTGATCAATTTGGAGAACCACCTCAAAGGGTGCACAGGTTATGCTGTATCAGCTATAGGGTAACGCAGTGCTACGGCTTCTCAGGGAGTCCCACACCTTCCTCGTCGCCCCGACTGTTTTAATCAGCAGAGGCTGCCCAAGGTACCACTTCCGAGCAGAATATTGGTGTGAAGAAAATATGAGAAAATTCTCACTTTTACTAAGACACCTTCACTTTTAGGCTTGTTGAAATAAACACTTGTGATTCCCATGTACCACAGTCTAACACATTTTTTTTTCCCACACTGTAACTGGTATGGAAACATGTATCTTTTGAATCTGCGTGTCTTTTTAAAAAGGCATCTAAATAAGTGACTTCATAAATATGTTTAAATTGCTAAGGGCAGCACTGTATGATACATTGAGAGAAGGAACAGAAGTGTGGGAAAACTAAGCTGGAATTGTACTTTTTAACTGCATTGAAATTAGATACTTGGGGCCTAGATATGTACTCAACAAACTCAAATAGAGAGCATTAACCTAGATAAATAGCTGGCACCAGTGTGTCCTTCACAGGTGAACAATATTCAGGCAAATGAAGAATTAAAACATTCCGTAAAGGATTTTCCCTTTCTATCTCTTCTCTCTGCACGTAACAGCTGGAAGAAAAGCTAAGTAAATGCTCAAAAGTGGAAGGGGGTCAATCAGTCCACAAAGCAAAAGAAATGATAAAACCACTCTTTAATGCCCTCCTCTTACCAAGCCTTTTTTTGGGAACAGCGTGTACCACGGCTGAGGCACCAAGTTTAAAGGAGGACACGCACATTTTGGGTGAGATCCAAGAGGAGATCAGGGCGACTAACACTGAGGAATGGGAGACGTGTTGTCTAATGAACATCTTAAAATACTTAGCTTTGAAATGGCAGAATGGGGGGATCAAATCGAGGTACAAAAATATCTAACGAGGGCAAGCAAGGGTCTGGGTATGGCGCTTCCACAGGGTAAGGACAAAGTAGAAAGTTGAGCTTAGGGTCAAGAGCAAACTAAGCATCTGACCCTGAGGCAGATGGGAAAAGGTGACTATATAGTGCTTTTTTCCAACAAATGGGTGCTCAAGAGTTTAACACCACATATAGACTTAAATACACACAAAACATACCACGGAAGAAATGCTACGCAGCTCATAAGGCTGTGTGTCTGGCTCTGAGACTGCAAGACTAAGACCAAGCTGTTGCTCTGCATTTCTTGGCGTGATGGTGCAATAAACGTCCTCCTCCTCCTGGGAAGAACAACTCCCAAAATAGTGGTTTTGTAAGTATAAAGACTGAGTAGAAATCAAGGATGCGGCATTTAAAAACACTGACCTGAAATAATTCTGTTTCTAACAAGATTGCTGAGAGTTTTATCATTGATTTCAATTAGCCTTGAGTTGGGAGATTTCAATTTTAAAAATAAAAAATCTTCTAATCCTCTCTGTCATGAGTCTTAAGTGTTCAAAAAAGCTGCTGTCTGGCCAAGTTTGCAAAGAGCTTGAGAAAATACAAAAAAGACTTGAACTGCTCCGCCAGTGTATTTCTAGCATATTACCATAGTTAAATTCTATCATGTTCACCCTCATTTTAACTGGTAAACAAAGAAGAAGCAAATTAAGCGCCTGCATATCAGAACGGCAGTAGAAAAGCACATGCAGGATGGAAACACAGAAAGGAAAAGAAAAAGAAGCAGAACAAAGGGAGAGGAAAGATTAAAAGAAGGGAAGGAAAGCAGAGGAAATGACTTACACATAGCGGTCTCCTATGTAATTTAGACAGAGAAAAAAAAAAAAACAAACCCAAAGAGAAGCTAATTTTAAGCCTGGGATCATTACCAATGATTACCAATGGTGGAACTTTGCCATTTGGTCAATTTGCCCTAATGTTTTTTTTCCTTCTAAAATTAGGATGTTCCCCCAACATGTGATGCTGGCCATGACAAGGGAAGGCTTGATAAAAGATGTAAGAACCAGAAATGCTCCAAGTGCAGAGATGTTGTTTTGACCACTCGCTGTCAGCAGATCTCTCCTCAAGGATTATGGACATCATTAATCACGGGACTTACCCCTCACAAGTAAGAGTTATGAACGAGGTTGTGCCTTGTGTTAGAGAAACCCTCTTAAGCCGGGTGTCTCAGCAACAAAGACCTTGACTTTCAGGTAAATGTCAAAGCAATATTTTGATCCTAATTGGTAACCGTAAATGTTGTGTCAGTGTGTGGCCAAATAAACACCAGCGCAATATAAGAATAGCAGGAGGGCATGAAAAAAAAACCCCAGCAAATTAACAAAGCAGCAGTCATTGCGACGGGCTTGTCCAGACCGGCTGTCGAGAAGCAGCGGGGAGCAAAGCAAAAAGCCCGTTGCCACAATCCAAACAACCAA